TAGTTCTTTTCTTCCTCTAGCGTTAACACGTCTTTATTTGTTTAATATTATTATTCACGGCCTTATTTAATTTCATATATATATATATATATATATATATATATATATATATATATATATATAAATTTATATATATATATATACAGTGTAACCCGGATATAAGAGAGTTGTCGGGACCGGAGACGAAGTCTCTTATATCAGGGTTTCTCTTATATTCGGGTTTGGTCTATTTTGTTTAAGTAAGTATGGGAACAATTAGGGACCAGAGAAAATCTCTCTTATATCCGGGTTTCTCTTATATCCGGGTCTCTTATATCCCGGTTACACTGTATATAATTATGCATAAATTTATATATATTTATGAATAAAAATGACAATAGGAAAACTGGTAATTGCTGACGCGTTTCGTACAATGTGGACTTTATCAAAGTAAAATAGGAAAATGAAATTAATTGAATAAAGTAACTAATAAAAATATAATGAATATATATGAATGTATATGTACCTATATGTACATATATAAATATATGTACTTACATGTGTGCGTGAGTGTGTGTGCTACATATATACCTGAACATATTTATTTATATCTTTTTCTTGCAAATGATTTCTTAATCAAGCCCGCTTTTGTGTCGAATCCAGGTTGTTTATTTATTTTCCGATTATTATTCCTATCACTACTAACCCTTTTCTCTTTCTCTTCTTTGTTTTAATTTCACTTCATCTTTTACTTCTTCATTCGTTGTATTTTGTATTTTCCTTCATTAATTTCTACGTTTAAACAGCCACCTCTTCGAAATATAATCTTCTTCCAGTGATAATGATATAGGCAAATAAGAATGAATTACAACACTATAACAATTCATTTACTAATTCTTTTACTAACCAATACTTCCATTGATGAGTTTGCATTCTCTCTCCTGTCGTTGTTGTGCCGGCCGCTTTCCACGGCATGCAGCAATAAACGACATCATCTGAAGAGGTTTGGATGCAGTTGGGTTCCCTTCGCAAATCGAACCCGTACGCCTCGACCGTAGTGATCGAAAGCGGCCGGATGGCATTAACATTTTCCCTTTTAAAATGGCGAAATCTCTGAATTGGGATGAGACATGTGCGGATACATTTTCGACCGGTAATTCGATCAGATCCACGGTTGAGACGGGGTCCGTCGCTCGGGACGCAGAGATAAATTTTTTTTTAAATATTCTTCTCTTGCTGATAGATTTTATTTTTACTCCTGTGTCAGTGGAGACTTCAGAGGTTGTTGGCCCTCTTTCGATGGCGTTCCTTGCGTCTCGATTAAGGGACGAGCCTCGCGAAACGGAGTGGCTCTTGTAACGTGTCTCACTGGCGATGGTACGAGGTAATGCTTTCTCCATCACTGAGGCTGGCAGAGGATAGCAAATAAAATATATTCCTTTACTATTCCTGAGAATAGCAATAACAACAATAAAGGATTATCTAACACAACACAAAGCAAATTACATTTAACAAAAACTTTTGGAAGCTTTAAGTTAATTACTGCCCTCAATAAGAATCACCAGATATTGTTACACGTGTACAAATTTATTAATACCATTACTTTTAAATATGTACTTGTGTGTGTGTCTGTGTGTGAAGATGATGAAGAAAATTGGATATTCTATAAATAACGCGTTTCGACGAAAGCCGGTTTGCTTCCTTCAGGTACTTTCTTTTCTTTATATGTTCCGTGTCCTTTCCGGACGTAGGCCATCATGGCTCTCCACCTTCCTCTATCCCTTGAAGCCCTAAATAAGTTCCTTCCCCCTGCCACCTCCCCCAGACCACGTTCTCTCGTCCACTTGCTTAAGGTTGCCTGATATGTCTTCCATTGTTTGCCTTTGTCTCGTTTTCCCTCTATTCGACCCGCGTGTATCAGACTCTCTAGGCCATCCTTCCTCATTATGTATCCCAGGAACTTCAGCTGCCTCTTCCTTTGCTCACACGTTCTGTTCCTGATATCAGCAGTATCCTTCTCTAGAACTACATCTCCGTCGCTTCGAATCTTTGAGGAAATCGTCCAATATTCGCTACCGTAAGAATGACAGATGTCATGTAACAAACAGTTCAGCATTCTTTTCTTCGTTACCAAAGAAATCCTCCTGTCCCGCAATACTCTGTCCAGCTTTTGCAATGTGTCCTTGGCCATCCCAATACGTCTACGGATCTCAGTGTCGCATTTACCGCCCTCTGTCAGAACGCTTCACAGATATTGAAACTTCCGCGTCTGCTTGATTCTAGTTTTCCCGATATTGACTAGACTTAGATAGAATAAACCAAATAAGATTGAGAAATAATTAGATAGGTGGATACATAGATAGAAATAAATAAATATAGTCTTAAACAGATAGAATAAGCTGAATTAGATAGCTAGATTTGAACAGACTGGGATAGATAGATAGATAGATAGATAGATAGATAGATAGATAGATAATGACGACTCTTGGAATAGGCAAAAGAAATATAGATATAATTAGGTAGATGGGTGCATAGATAAAAAGAAAGAAAAATAATCTGAAACAGATAGAACAGGCTGACATAGACAGAAAGAAAGTATAATTTGAGAAGTATAGAATAGTCTGTAAAAGATCGATTGATAGAATAGTCTAAAAATATTGATAGATAGAACGGTCTGAAAAATCGTATTTCGGGCTCATAAGGAATAAAACTGACACTCGACAGAATTTGTCGTTTAATGGATTTTCAATGCTATTATTTTTTGTCTCATCATATCCACTTTCGTTTCGGATAATATTAGACATCTCTACACACACTTTTGAAGGGCAGTATTAAGCTTTTATAAGGTGACATAGAGGGATGTGAGGAACAGAATGAGATACATGGTTGCGTTTAAAGAGGGAAGGGAAAGTTTTAAAATTTATTTTTATTTTTATTAAAATACTTAATATTGAGGAGAAGTGGATAAGGATCAAATATTCCCCTATTTACGCGGCCAACTCAACGGAAATGATAGGGGAAAAAGGAAAAAGAAAAAAGTGGAAAGGAAAAAAGGGAGAAGTAAAGTGATAAGATATTAGAGATGTACGTAGTGTTTTTGGAGGAAGGAGAGGGGTGGTATAGCTTTAGCAATTCAGATAAACACAGATTTTAACGTTCGATAGTAATTTAAATGTTTAAAAACTCCACAAAGAAATTAAATCTAATGCTTGTTAGCAATTTAAATATTTTACTTCTTCACAAATAAATTAGAGATTTAATCTAAGCTGAGTATTATATTAAAAGTGATCCACAGAGAGATTAATATATTTATCGTAACGAAGCATATATACTTTTATAGCAAAAATCCATGTCCTAGGGCTCCGTCCCTGTGCTGGTGGTATCACGGCTACGACTAGCTTGGACCGGCTCTGACCAGCTTGGACCAGCTATGACAAGACAAGACCAGCTATAACTAGTTTAACCAGATCTGACCAACTATGATTAGCTTAGACCAGCTCTGAACAGCTTGGGCAAACTATGACCAGCTTAGACTAAAACACTCCGGTCCCCACGTTAAAAACTGACCTTATGCCACAACCTGACTCAGTAAATATCCATAGTCTATTTTCATCGGCGAGACATTTCAAAAGGTATTCAAAAGGGCCGATCTGAAATAGATTATACCCATATGAGTTAATTTGGGATTTTTGTTGTAGCATATATATATATATATATATATATATATATATATATATATATATATATATAATGGACTCTCCCGTCGGTTTCGACGTATGAAGATCTTACAGCTTATTGATTCAGTTATGAAAGATTGTGCGATAGTCTTAAGTGGCATTTAAGACCCGCTACTGATTTACAAAGGAGCCTACATATGGAGCAAGTGTGAGATCACTGTTAGATTAACTGACCTTTTAGATCTTGCTCTCGCTTCTTGAAGATGATTCAGACAAGCAGATTTAAAATTGCTGAGTCCACTAAAACACGTTGATCTCCATTCTACCCACTCCAAAGCTAAGCGCTCAAGGGTGTTATGTGGTATATTGATTGCTGACAAGTTGCTTTTCAGCTTGTCTTTTTATCTTAGTCATGGGCGTCCTACATTCCTGTAGCCCTGATCTAACTGGCTGTACATTAGGATCTTGGGTATCCTGTAATGAGACATTCTCAAGACATGACCAGTCCACCACTGTATGATAAAAGTCTGGCTTCCTCCAATATTACACCTGTTAAACAGGTCTACGTAAGATGTCCTATCTTGAAGCTTAAATGCGCAGATTGCACGCAGACAGCTTTTATGGAAAACATCCAGCTGGCGTATATGGTACCTGTATGGAGTTTACGACTCTTAGCCATGCAAAAGGATTTCAAGTACAACAGCTCTGCAAACCCGAATTTTCGTATCCAGTCGAATACCCCGCTCATTCCACAAGCAATGGCGAAGTTTGCCGAAAGCACTGGTAGCCTTAGCAATCCGATGCATGATTTCATCATCTAAAGTAATTGACTTTGTTACCAAGATAGGTGAAAGACTTTACATAGTTTAGGGGTTTGTCTTCTACTTTCAATGGTCTCTCTAGAAATTTGTAGACTGGTGTTTTTTTGTTTCTCACCAAGCAATTGCTTCGGAGTAGGACAAGGTTGGTGCACAACTTCAGTTTTCTTTATGCTAAGCGTAAGACCAAATACTTTACATGCAGCAGAGAAACGATTTATTAGATGTTGGGCCTCCTCAAAGGATGTCGCTACAAGATTCGCATCATCAGCAAACAACAAATCACGAATAATATGTGTACGAAAGGGGGGTCTTGGCTTTGAAGCGCTGATGATTGAAGAGACCACCAGTTGTTCGAAACTGAAACTTGACGCCACTCTCTGTCTGCAAATGCAAATATATATATATATATATATATATATATATATATATATATATATATATATATATATATATATATATATATATATATATATATATATATATATATATATATATATATATATATGTGTGTGTTTTGAATGTTTACGGTGACATCACTTTGAAACACCGGTTCCCGTATGATCACCGAAGCTAAGCAACGATGAGTCTGGTCACTACCAAGATGGGTGACCACTTCGTAATAAGAAGATCTGTAATCTTAGATATGCGAGTTCTTTAATAGGTAATGGCTCGAAATATTTCATTGGAGAGCTTAGTTTCACTTCCAGTTCGATTCGTTGTATTCACTTTCACACAAATACTATTGGGAAAGGTAATGAACCCACCTCTTCTACCCCTCAGTTATGGATTAATTAGTAAGACTTAACAATCACTAAATCATTATTACCTCCCCAATTAAAAAAATAATCTTAAATTGTAAAATATTTTCTGGCTTGAAATAACCTGCAAAGTGTTGATAAGCCGTAGAAAACGAATCAATCAATGATATATCAGGAAATAGACAAAGAAAATAGAAAAATAAATAAATAAGTAAATAATAAACGAATGAATGTAAAACGTGGAATATAAATTTAAACGCTTCAACCAATATAATGTGTGAAAAGACAAATAAAAATGTAGAAAAAGAAGTGATTTATAAAAAAAAAAAAACAGAAATTAATGATTGATTTGTTTTTTACGGATTATCAACCTTTGAATGTTATTTAAATCCAGAAAATATTCTTAGATTTTTGATGATTTACCGTTACAAGTTTTACTAATTAACTGCTAGTTGAGAGGAGAAATGGTCGATCCATACATTTCACGATGGTATTTGCGCGTAAGAAAAAACAGAAATTAATGATTGATTTGTTTTTTACGGCTTATCAACCTTTGAATGTTATTTAAATCCAGAAAATATTCTTAGATTTTTGATGATTTACCGTTACAAGTTTTACTAATTAACTCCTAACTGAGAGGAGAAATGGTCGATCCATACATTTCACGATGGTATTTGCGCGTAAGAAAAACAGAAATTAATGATTGATTTGTTTTTTACGGCTTAACAACCTGAGATCTGTAAACTTAAGTCCTTACCTTCATATCAAATAATGTTTATTAAGTGAATATGAGACTGGATAAAAAAAATATAACTTAAAACGCCACTGCTATAATTAAAATACATTTGCTTCTCCTCCCATCCTTCGCTATATTTATAAGACACCCTTTTACGTTAACTTTGTTTTTCTTTTCTAGTTCATTTCTTTATAGATTTACGATATACTTGTTTTCTTTTTCTTTTAGTCTCTTCGCCTTTCTTCTTCTTTACCCTCTTCTTCCTTCGCCTAGCCCTCGTCCCTTTCTATAACACTCAATCTTAGTCGTTTGACCGTCACGGCTTTGTTTATTTATTTATTTTGGAAAAATAGTAATAGAGCTTTCTTTGATTTTTTTTTTTAAATAAAGCGTTGGATGGTCTGTTGATAGAATTAGCCTGATGACTCTGTGAGGTCGAAAACAAGGTTGCGTATTCTTCTTAAATTTTAAAGTTTCTATACACACACACACACACACACACACACACACACACACACACACATATATATATATATATATATATATATATATATATATATATATATATATATGCATGTTTCATTAAAATCGACAGACAAGGTACTACGGTTGAGCTTTTTTATTTAATTTTTCTTGTGTTCTTACAAGAGCTTTCTTTTCTGGACAAAGAGTGTGTAAGAACTGTCCGAATGTTCTGTATTTCCGAGCGCTTTCGGCTATACCTTTAGCCATTATCAAGGATGATTCAATTATCAGCTTAGTAGAGTGTGTGTGTTCTGTGTATGTTCAGTGTGTGGTAGTGATGTTTTAGTTTTCGAATACGGTTAGTACATTGTGGCTTTGTTCATAGTTAATATGGTTAAGGGTTGGCTTTTTTTTTTTTTTATTATTAGAGCTTCCATTATTTTTAGTCTTTTTTTGCAAGTGGATGCAGTTAATATATTTGTGTTTTCTACTAGTATGTTCCTAATAGTGTCGGGTAAATCTGAGTGTGTGTTTAAATGTGTTCTGATGGAACTGTGATCACCGTATTGGAAGGATTGCTGCCTAAATATACAAATATATATATATATATATATATATATATATATATATATATAGGCACGGTGCTTCGTGGAAAGTCATCAGTGCTTGTGATAGAGCTAATGTATTTAGTTGTATGGTATTAGCTTGTAACATTTGGTTTCACGATTTTGCGATCATCAGACTTATCAGATGTATTTTATTTTTTTTTAAATCGATCCATTTATGTTTATTTGTGTTTGAGTATTTGTGTTTGAGAGAAGGGAATAATTGTCTTCTGTGTTTGTTTGGGACACTGTCACATCCATAGACACACATATATACAGGTGTACGTATTTTAGTTCATACAAACGCACCCATATAAATAATCTGAGGTTAGGCTCAGATACATATCCATTCGTTCGATTATACGTATATACGCAATTGTCATTCTATTTCGGTGTCTAGACCTTAACGTTACATATGTAGTAAGGTTCTTTTAACAAGGAACAGGTGGGGATGGACAT